CATTTCTGATTCAGTTCAAAATAGAGATATTGTTGTTCAAACGAAATCCGGATTTCTACAACGTATCAGTGAATTGCATCCTTCTTATCTTCCTCTCCAATATCCGCTACTATTTCCATATGGTGATGATGGTTACAGCGTTGATATTCTTCATAGAGGTGTTACATCTACAAAAAACAAGCGGGCGAAATGTACAATGAGAGAATTTTTCGCTTTTAGAATTCAAGACAGGGATCATTCATTCTCACTAATTTTAAATTCAAAAAGGTTATTTCAACAATTTTTGGTGGATGCGTATACTATGATTGAAAGTGAGAGATTGTATTATATACGCAGGCAACAACATGTTCTCAGATGTGATTCTTATGAGAATTTACGTAACCAAAAAGCTCAAGGAAATACAAATATCTCCAACATTGTCCAACGTGTCATATTACCTTCATCCTTTACTGGTGGTGCGCGCTATATGCTGCAAAACTATTTGGATGCCATGTCGCTTTGTAAATGGTTTGGATATCCTGATTTATTCATAACCTTTACGTGTAATCCCAAATGGCCTGAGGTTAAAAGGTTTCTTAAGGATACTTCACTTCAACCAGATGATAGACCTGATATACTATGTAGGTTGTTCAAGATCAAGCTTGATGCATTTATTAAAGACCTAAGGGAGAATCACATTTTCGACATTATTCAAGCAGGTAATTGAATTATCTTTTATTCATAATCCATAAAAGTTTAAGTTTTTTTTAATATTTTTTCTTACGGTCTATTACAATTTTATTTTGTTCAAAATGTTTTGCAGTTGTTTATACAATAGAATTTCAAAAAAGAGGTTTGCCGCATAGTCATATATGTCTATTTATGCATTCTGAATACAAGTTACCGACTGTTGAATTTATCGACCCGATGATTTCCGCCGTGATACCAAACAGAGATGAAGATCCAGAATTGTATTCACTTGTGAATGAGTTCATGATTCATGGTCCATGTGGAGCTAAGAATATCAATTGCCCATGCATGGTGGACGGAAAATGCTCTAAAAACTTTCCAAAGCAATTCTGTAACCATACGTCTGTTGATCAAAATGGTTTTCCCTTATATAGGAGAAGAAACGATGGTCATTTTGTTGAAAAATCGGGTGTGCATTTGGATAATAGAAATGTTGTTCCATACAACAAGTATCTATTGAGAAGATATCAAGCACATATTAATGTTGAATGGTGCAATCAGGGGTCTTCTATAAAATATTTATTTAAATACATAAACACGGGACCTGATAGAGCTACAGTTGTCCTTGAACAAAGCAATAATGAATGTGATAATAATGATACGGTCGATGAAATCAATGAGTATTACGACTGTAGATATCTATCTGCCTGTGAAGCATCATGGCGAATTTTTAAATATGATGTTCATTACAGGTATCCTTCTGTGGTTAGACTTCCTTTTCATCTGCCTGGTCAACAACAAATTGTTTATGGGGAAGACGATGATATTGACGATGTTCTCGACAAAACTTCTGTTGCTTCTTCAATGTTCACAGCTTGGATGGAGTGTAATGCAGTTAACATTGATGCACGAAAACTTACGTATGTTGAATTCCCTACAAAGTTTGTTTGGCAACGCGGTGATAGGATTTGGAAGCCACGGGAGGTAGGAAAGTGCATTGGTAGAATTCATTCGGTTTCACCTAATCTAGGGGAAGCCTATTTCTTAAGAATTTTGTTAAATAAGGTCAAAGGTCCGAAATCATTTGAAGAAATCCGCACAGTAAATGGTGAACTATATTCTTCTTTTAGGGATGCTTGTTATGCTCTTGGGCTCTTGGATGATGACAAGGAATACATCGATGCAATCAAAGAAGCAAGTCATTATGGATCTGGTTTTTACCTACGATTTTTATTTGCTACATTATTGATGTGTAACAGTATGTCTAAACCGGAGGTTGTTTGGGAAAACACATGGGAATATTTAGCAGATGGAATTCTTTATAACCAACGACAGAGATTCAAATCTCCAGGTATTAAAGTTTTATTATTATTACTATTTATTTAAAAACTCAATTATTTATTTTTAAACATACATTAACTATTATTTTAATTATAAATAAAAATTGTTAATAATAATTCTAATTAATTTGCTCTTTATCCTCCAGACTTATCACTCAATGAAGATCAACTTAAGAACTTAACTTTGTTCGAGATAGAACAAGTTTTACTAAGGAACAATTCCACTCTCAAAAATTATAAAAACATGCCTATCCCAGATGTAGATTCTGTTTCTTCTTCAAACAATCGACTTATCACTGAGGAGTTAGATTATGACATTCCTGTTATGAAGGTTGAGTTTGATCGTATGTTTCTTGCATTGACAAATGAGCAGCGTCACATTTTCCTTGATATCATGGGTGCAGTTAAAGAAAATAAAGGAGGTGTCTTCTTTGTTTATGGTTATGGTGGGATTGGTAAAACTTTTTTATGGAAGACAATATCTGCAGCTATTAGATGTGATGGTCATATTGTTTTAAATGTTGCTTCAAGTGGGATTGCTTCATTATTATTGCCTGGAGGTAGAACAACACACTCTTGATTTATAATTCCATTTGAACTAACAGAGGATTCTGTTTGTAAAATAAGTCGAGATGGTGACCTCGCTAGGTTATTGAGAAAAACCTCTTTGATAATTTGGGATGAAGCTCCTATGGTCCATAAGCATGCATTTGAAGCTTTAGATCGAAGTTTGAAATATGTATTTAGGTTTGAAAATTCTAGCAACTCAGATATTCCTTTTGGAGGGAAAGTTATTGTTTTTGGAGGAGATTTCAGACAGATTCTACATGTTATTCCTGGTGGAAGTAGACAAAACATTGTTAATGCTTCTTTAAGTTCTTCATATTTATGGGAACATTGCAAGATCCATAAATTAACAAAAAACATGAGGCTAACTGTTGGAAGGGATCAATCTGATATAGAAAAAATCAAAGATTTTGCAGAATGGTTGTTGGATATAGGAGAAGGCAAACTTGGTGGTATCAACGATGGTGAAACAGTTATTGATATTCCAGATGATATTCTCATTGATGATCCACATGTTCCTATAGGTTCATTAATCGACTTTGTATATCCTTCAATTTTGGAAAACTACAACAATACAAGTTATTTTCAAGAAAGAGCAATACTTGCTCCAAAGAATGAAGTCGTTCAGGAAATAAACGATCGTTTGTTATCGAAGTTTCCAGGAGATGAGGTTGAATACTTAAGTTCAGATAGTATATGCCAATCTGAATTTGTCCATGATCAGTTTGATGCAAATTTATATTCACCTGATGTTTTAAATGGTCTAAAGGTATCAGGTTTACCAAACCATAAGTTAGTTTTAAAAATCGGTGTTCCAGTTATGTTGCTGAGAAATATTGATCAGAAAAATGGCTTATGCAATGGGACAAGACTCCAGGTTATATCATTGGGCAAACGTGTTATTGAGGCGCGTATCATATCTGGAACTAATATTGGAAACCGTACTTTTATTCCAAGAATGTCTTTAACTCCATTAGAAAAGAAGATTCCCTTCAAATTCCGAAGAAGACAATTTCCATTGGCTGTATGTTTTGCAATGACCATTAATAAGAGTCAGGGACAATCATTATCGAAGGTTGGTTTGTTTCTCAAACATCCAGTGTTTTCACATGGACAATTATATGTTGCCTTATCTAGAGTTCAAAGCAGAGACAGATTAAAATTATTAATTTTAGATAAGGACGGTGCCCTCACAAATCAAACTTCCAATGTTGTTTATAAAGAAGTTTTCCAGAATTTATAAACAGTGTTTTTGTACCATATTTTATTTACTTGTAAAAAATAATATTTCATCCATCATATTAAATAAACAATTTAAAATACTTTATTGCATTTCATTTATTCATGTAAATTACAATATCACTATTCTTCATTTTTTGTGAACTTTGATATGTTTTTTTATTATACAAACAAAATGAAAATTATAATTCTATTTCAATTTATCAACCGTGGATTTCCACGGGTTTTAACCTAGTTAATTATAAACTTGTAGACTTAAGGAGTTAAGGGGTTTAAAAGTGTAAAAAATTTGAAAGTCAAATCTTTAAGATAATTATCAAACTTATGGATAATTACTTACTGACCAAGTAATTCTCCCATAAGGGTTTCTAAACATCCCTTATAACTAAAGGCGCCCTATGAACGAATTTAGATGATTAAAACCCTAGAAATTTCGTTATCCTCTCAACCACTCTTAAAACCCAGAAAACTCTTTCATTGCGATGTTACAATTCTTTGGTCGTGTCGTGATTTACGATTAGAATCCTAATTGTTTAGGTTTAGTGTTCCATGGTTTTAGGGCTTGCCACTTGTTGCTTATATGCTTCTTCTGTGGGATTACAAAAAAATGAGTTCTACTTTGGACTTTTAGCAATCCACCCCAAGAAGATTTCAAGTGACTGCAAAAGTTTGATTTGCGATTCCCATGGTTGCATTTTGTTGCATTATATCTCGTTGGACTTGATCCATTTTTTGGTTTATAAAGTTAATTTGTTTATTGCTTCTAGCCTTCTACGGTGCTTCTTAGTGGCTTTTGTAAGATCCCTCCTAACCCAACATTACCCCTTTGTAGCTTATATGTTTATGTGCTACTAATAATACACTCTATTGAATATTTTAATATTTATAAAAGGTCAACTTATAATTAACTATTTATAATCATTTTTTTCAAAAAACAATGCAATTTAAACAAATAAAAACAATTTAAAATTAAATTAGGATATCTAAATATCTTTTTAATCGACTTCATTTTAAATATATTAAATATATGCTTGATGTATATGAGATCCACTAAGATATTAATATTATATTTTATCTACTAATATAATATATATATATATATATATATATATATATATATATATATATATATATATATATATATATATATATATATAATGCGACCTCCAAAACAAACAATCATTTAAAAAAACAAAAATCACAAATCATCCTTACATACTACTTCCCAATATTCAAATACCGACTTTTGTAAAAACTCTTTGGAAAATATTCAAATACCGACTTTTGTAAAAAGATGACTGGAAATATGCCCTAAACCCTGTCCCTTCAGAATTTGATTTGATCGGTGTAAGTGGGTTCCAGCACAGCTTTAAATACAAAATACGTTTCCCTCTTCACTATTCTACCGGGCACGTTGCAAGAGGGCGAAGGAGAAATCTTGAGATCATTGCTGTGCTTTCCTTTTCTAGTGTAAGTATCTGGTCTTATATTGTAACAATCGATTATCGGTTTCCTTAAACCCGCTAATCAGATCGAGAATTGATGAAATTATAATTTAGTAGATCTAGGGTTCAAGTGCTTCCGTACAGGGTGTAGTATGTTGTATGTATAATTTAAGCCGTTGACTAAACGAGCATCGCTATTTTCTTGTGATTGCAGGTTTCTTTACTTTCTGTTTCGTTCCGAACCCTAGAAAATGGTACTTACGGCAAATTTTGAATCAAATTTCGTTGCTTTTTCGTTTTATGGCATGGTTCTCTATATATGTGCGTTCATTGATTAGTGTTGTTAATTTTTGTATCAGCTTCCTCTATCTCTACTAAAGACGGCACAAGGCCACCCTATGGTACCATCTTTTCCCTCATCTAGCGATATCCTTATGTTTTAATTATCGGTGTTTTTTGGGTTTATTCTTTCCCTTTTAATATGCCTTGCAAATATATGATTATGGTTTTCCATCTATGAGAGAAGTAGAGCTCAAATCGTTTTGAATTATTTGTCCATCTTTAAAGAATTATCATCATACATGCTGGAGTTAGTAAGATGTTTGTTACCTTAATCTTGATAGTTATGTTTTGTTACTTGTGGATTATGATAGTTGGTAGAACTGAAAAACGGGGAGACATACAATGGACATTTGGTGAACTGCGACACTTGGATGAACATCCATCTGCGTGAAGTTATCTGTACCTCAAAGGTATGATGAGTTTGTTATGCTTTGAGTGTTGAGTTTTGGTAATGATTGTTTGTGTACTGTGTAGGACGGAGATAGGTTTTGGAGAATGCCTGAATGCTACATTCGTGGTAATACAATCAAGTATCTTAGAGTTCCAGATGAGGTAAGCTATCTTTCGTTTCTAACAAATACATTATAATTTATACATACTCACTCCTTTGGTACTTTAGAATGAGAAAAATTCCTTTTCCAAGTATTAGATGGGTTTTGAAGTATGTCTTATACTGTTTGTCCTGTCAAACAGACATTGTGTCTTTGTTTTTTATATGTACATGATGATGATATTGACCCAATTTGGTGTGTTGTTGATTAACATAATAACAGGTTATTGATAAGGTTCAAGAAGACAAGAACCGTTCAGGTATGGGTGATTTGTGGTTTAGTTTGTTTGAAGAAAATGTGTGTGTGTATATATATATATATATATATATATATATATATATATATATATATATATATAAAATGTGGAATATGGATTGGGATTTTCAGATAGGAGACCACCTGGAGTGGGGCGTGGGAGAGGAAGAGGAGGAGGTCATGGTCATGGCCCAGATGATGCAAGCGGTAGAGGAGGACGTGGCGGCAGGGGGGGTGGCAGGACTGGTGGGCCCGCCAGAGGTACGTACTTGTTTCTTTCATTGTAGTAATGACTATGATTGATTCTGATTCCATTCATGTATTGGGAGTGTTTTTTCTTCTTCTGATGGTGGCGACAATGATGATTTTGACAGGTGGAGGCCGTGGACGGTAGTAGCAAAGAGAGAGAGAGAGAGAGAGTATGTGTATTGGTGTTTTGCTGCGTTGGCCACTTTTAAAAGGCATACTATCTATTACATCATCTGCCCTTTATTTTTGTTTCTATCAACATCCTATAGATAGCACTTTGCAGCGGCATGGTCTCTTCTAATTGATTATGTTTAAATTCAGAAAACAAAATTGATTGCTACTTGTATCTCCTTGGATCAGAAGAGGTTAGCATAATGAATGTAGTAAGATAGAGAAAATTTATCACAAAGACTTTCACTACTTAATTTTAAGCTGAATCAGTTAAGCTCTAGGCTATCACCACCAACTTCATGGAATGCATATGGTGGGGTATTGGTTTGACTATTTATAGACCCACAACTTAGGTCTCACAAGAACATGCCAAACATGGCTGTAACGTTACAATTTTTTTAAAGCTATGCTTGGTGAACTATTAGAAAGGCTACTTGTCAGGCTATGGGGTATCGTGAATGGCTTACCGCCAGTATCCGACGTGGAGGGCTTCACCGCCGGTGAATACTTGCTCTCGACGCAGATATAATACCGGCGGTGACTTTGTATCGGCTGCAAAATTTTAAAATTTGGAACGTTGGGGAGAATTGAATCGTTGGCAAACCATTAGAAGCGGCTATAAGCCATATTTTATTTCTTTCTTTTATTATTATTATTATTTTTAAACAAATCTACCACATATATACAATTAATTCTTCCAAAATATAACCCCACTACAAATTCTTTACAAATCCACTTTTCTGGTCACAAATGAATGGTATTCCTAGTTATTATTCACAATTCCAAATGCCACAACAATTCCAATTCCAATCTCAGCTCTAAACCCAACCATCCCAAATCCAATTTCCATCCCAACTGCCTTTCACACCTTCAATCGAAATTGTTTCTGATTCCAAACACGAAGAACAACAATCACCTTAACAACAAAAGAAAGGGAAGGCCGAAAAGAAGTTGAATTAGCAAAAGCACGGGAAAGGGAAGGCCGAAAAGAAGTTGAGTTAGCAAAAGCATGGGTCGACATATTTGAAGATGGTGGCACAGGAAATGGTCAAAATCGTGATCAATTTTGGTTTGGGACAATGATTTAGGAGGGTAATAACGTTTCCTGTTTGTCCATTTTAGGTCCCTAACGTATTTTTTGTGCATATTACACCATTAAGGTTATTATAACCGTTTACAAATAGTCATTTTAACAGGAAGAAGCCGGTAAAATGATTATTTATAAACGGTTTTAACAACCTTAATGGTGTAATATACACAAAAAATACGTTGGGGACCTAATATGGACAAACGGGAAACGTTATTACCCTCCTAAGTCATTATCCCATGAAACTATAAACCCCTATAGTAAATTTTTACTTTTTAAATAAGAAACTTGTAGGTCTTGAGGTTGGTAGTTTGGATATTTTTAACCTCGGCCTTCTTTATAAATAGAAGTGGTGGTTTTTTTAATGACAAGGGAGCTCTTCGGGTTAAAATTGTCAAATTTTGTCATGGGGAAGGTGGTGGTTTTTCGGAAGATTCGAGAACCGAAATTGGAGGGGTGTTTGGCAAAAGATTGTAGGATCCATTAATCACCTCCATGAGAATGGTTGTATTCCTTCTAATTACATGTATAGAGTGGTGGGGGTGAGACTCAAACGAGGTTCTAGAAGGATGTTTGCTGCTTGGATATTTCTCTTAGGGAGCGGTTCGGGAGGCTCTTTGCTTTGGCCTTTAATCAAGATGCTCGAGTAAGTGAATAATGGGATCCGGAGGGATGTAATTTTCTTTGGCATTGGGGGATTAGAGGAGGGGCCAATGAAAATTACATCCCTCCGGATCCGATTATTCACTTACTCGAGCATCTTGATTAAAGGCTAAAGCAAAGAGCCTCCCGAACCGCTCCCTAAAGGAATATTCAAGCACCAAACATCCTTCTACAAGATAATCAAATTGGATCGATTCAACCCCTCCTCTAATCCCCCAACGCCAATGAAAATTACATCCCCCCCGGATCCCATTATTCACTTACTCGAGAATCTTGATTAAAGGCCAAAGCAAAGAGCCTCCCAAACCGCTCCCTAAGAGGAATATCTAAGCACCAAACATCCTTCTAGAACCTCGTTTGAGTCTCACCCCCCACCACTCTATACATGTAATTAGAAGGAATACAACCATTCTCATGGAGGTGATTAATGGATCCTACAATCTTTTGCCAAACACCCCTCCAATTTCGGTTCTCGAATCTTCCGAAAAACCACCACCTTCCCCATGACAAAATTTGACAATTTTAACCCGAAGAGCTCCCTTGTCATTAAAAAAACCACCACTTCCATTTATAAAGAAGGCCGAGGTTAAAAATATCCAAACTACCAACCTCAAGACCTACAAGTTTCTTATTTAAAAAGTAAAAATATACTATAGGGGTTTATAGTTTCATGGGATAATGACTTAGGAGGGTAATAACGTTTCCCGTTTGTCCATATTAGGTCCCCAACGTATTTTTTGTGTATATTACACCATTAAGGTTGTTATAACCGTTTATAAATAATCATTTTACCGGCTTCTTCCTGTTAAAAGGAATATTTGTAAACGGTTATAATGACCTTAATGGTGTAATACGCACAAAAAATACGTTAGGGACCTAAAATAGACAAACAGGAAACGTTATTACCCTCCTAAATCATTATCCCTTTTGGTTATTGTAACTCCCTGAAAATTATGACATATATATATTTTTTGATTAATAGATCGTTAATACATGCCTTCCCATAAAACCAGAGTAATTAAGTTTTATCAAAACATTGACCAATCATAGTAATTTACAGAAAACGGAAACATGTAGTGTGTGCTCTGCAATCATCTCGAGCTCTTCCATCTGAAAATCGGAGTACTTGAAACATAAACTGAAAACTGTAAGCACAAAGTTTAGTGAGTTCTCAAAAATACCATACAACATACAACTATAAAATATCATGCAACATACATATAGTTGCCTTGGGCTCCCCCATGGTCTTTATTTGGGATGCCATGAGCTCTCCTCTTGGTATTATACCTGGAATGTCATGTGCTTCCCCTCATGGTCTAATATCCAAATGCCAAGGTCTCCCCCCGGGGTCTTCCATGCAAGTATCACAGAGACAACTAGCATACCTCATAACACGTAATTGGTCGGCATTGGTGCCTTCGACCCATGTATATAGTGAGAAGACTCACATCGCATTGCTGAATCATACGGAAACACCTTTGGCTGCTGGTTGGTAGATCCCGAACTATCAATAACAAAACAACACCCACTTTATAGTTGACTTCCAATCCATAACCTTAACTCCATATCTGTTGGGTTTTGAGCAATCTAACACTTCCTAAGTGTGCATGCAACCCTAATAAACCTTGGATCTATGTTTGTCTAAATACATGCAAAATAATAATTTTCCAAGGTTTATAACCTATCTAACATGGCATGGGGAACATTTCAACATAAAAGAGTTAGAAGAGATTACATACCTTTTGGTGAGTTTGGTTCTAAGGAGTTTGAGGGCCAAGCACCAATAGTATGAATGCCTCAAATGGAATCACAAACACCACAAACTCTTGGAAAACTTTGAGAGAGTATACACCTTGTAGAAAATCGGCCACACACATGCACACATACACTAGTTCACTAGTTTTCTCTTAGGCTCCATTTCATGCTCCATAAGCATGCTTATATAGTGTGCATGGTTAGGGTGAAACCCTAATAACCCATGTCTTTTCCTTTCCAAGGATCCATGGGTTAAAAGCTCCATGGATCATCCATGGACTTCCACATAAGCCTAGCCCATTAACAAATGAGTATTAGCCCACACTATATAAAACAAATAGCCCATAATTTAATTATTATTCCTTTTAATCTCTAAATTAATTCATAATTAATTTAAGACTAAAACTAATTAAATAACGTAATTTCATATTAATATATTATAACCCATAATATATTAATAAACATATGTGTATAACTCTCATAAAATTATCCATAATAGTTTGGATGAGATGCAACCCAAATGGACCATGCCGGTCGGGTCAAGTATATACCAAATAAGTTATGGACTTAGACACCTTATCCAACAGACTCCCACTTGGATAAGTCTAATAACTGTATTTGCCTACAACTTCAGGAACCAACCAGCAATCGTAGCTCTCGAAAACTCCCTCGAACAATGAAGACTTTGTCGAACTATGAAGCGCCATTTTAGATAAGTGATCACATAATCCTCTGTTCTCATGATATCAGCCGGACAAACACATGGAACTATGTCTTGCTTATTGTCTAGCAGTTGTTTCTCGATTTTCCGATTTGTTTGATGAAGAACTTCACTGAACACATCGGTTTAGTTCTGACCAGGCCTGGTACATGGGTCAACACAAAATCATCGAGGGGCCCAGATATCGCTTCTATTTCTAGAAGGAACAGATAAACTTCGACTGATATGCTTGTTCTACTACTTATTGAATTGTACACAAAGGCACGTTTTATAACATCAAGTTACTGATGCGTTTACGTGCAATCAATGCACAACCAACTCATAGGTAACAACTCATATCTCTAGGTTTAAAGATTTATATGATGTTATCGTCTCACGATCACTCGAGATAAATTCCATGAAGTGATACAAGTGAGCGTGGGTTTATACCAATACTCATAACTTATGAGTACTCATGAATGTTGCAGCAACCATTGCCATGTCTAAACACCTTTAAGGCATCTACAAACCCAATTCATGACAATCTTGATTCATACCTACTTCCGACGTATGATCGATTGTGGAGGTTTGAATAAATTAATTATTCTGGAAGTCAAAACATGCAAAACTGAAACAGTAGTAAATAATTGACAATGATAGTAACACTTTACTCCCTAAATAAATCACAAATTTTATTCATCATCAAACGTCGATTACATTTTACAAGTTTCAGGAAAACTATCTAATCTGAAAAACTAATATCGTCCCTCAGCCCGATGCGTCTTGCATGCTGAAAATGCTTAACCCTCGTCAGTCCCTTCGTAAGGGGATCTGCAGGATTCTCATCCGACGATATCCTCCTTGTCACAAGGAGTCCTTCTTCAAGCTTGTGTCTTATGAAGTGATATTTTCTGTCAATGTGTCTGGATCTGCCATGATCTCTTGGTTCCTTGGCTAAGGTAACCACACTATTGTTGTCACAGAAAATCTCTATAGGTTCCTTAATAGCTGGTACAACTCCAAGGTCTCCGATGAAGTTCTTTTCCATATGCCTCCTTCGCTGCTTCACTCGCTGCTATATACTCTGATTCACAAGTCGAATCAGCCACCGTCTCCTGCTTGGAACTCTTCCAAGAAATTGCCCCTCCATTTAAGGTAAAGATCCAGCCCGACTGAGAGCGGAAATTATCCCTATCAGTCTTAAAACCAG